TTCCGTAGGGGTTGTACTAGTTTACATTCCCATTGACAGTGTAGAAGTGCTCTCTTTTCACCACATCTGCGCCAACATCTATTATTTTTTTTTATTATAGCCATTCTTGCAAAAGTATGATGGTATCACATTGTGGTTTTGATTTGCAGTTCTCTGATAATTAGTGATGTTGAGCATTTTTTCATATGTATGTTGGCCATTTGCATATCTTCTTTTGAGAATTGTCTATTCGTGTCCTTAGCCCACTTTTTGATGGGATTGTTTGTTTTTTTGTTGCTGATTTGTTTGAGTTACTTGTAGATTCTGGATATTGAGCCCTTATCAGATGTACAGATTGCAAAGATTTTCTCCCACTCTGTGGGTTGTCTTTACTGATTATTTCTTTTGCTGTGCAGAAGCTTTTTAGTTTAATTGAGTCCCATCTATTTATCTTTGTTTTTGTTGTATTTACTTTTGGGTTCTTGGTCATGAACTCTTTGCCTAAGCCAATGTCTAGAAGAGTTCTTCCAACGTTATCTTCTAGAATTTTTATGATTTCAGGTCTTAGATTTAAATCTTTGATCTATCTTGAGTTGATTTTTGTCTAAGGTGAGAGATGAGGATCCAGTTTCAATCTTCTACATGTGGCTTGCCAATTATCCCAGCACCATTTGTTGAGTAGGGCATCTTTTCCCCAATCTATGTTTTTGCATGCTTTGTTGAAGCAAACAAACTGTTAAGGCCAACTGTTGCTCAGTTTGCCTTAAGTATTTGGCTTTATTTCTGGGTTCTCTATTCTGTTACATTGGTCTATATACCTGTTTTTATACCAGTACCATGCTGTTTGGGTGACTACGGCCTTATATTAATAGTATAGTTTGAAGCTGGGTAACGTGATGCCTCCAGATTTGTTCTTTTTGCTGTCTTGCTTTGGCTATGTGGGCTCTTTATTGGTTCCATGTGAATTTTAGGAGCTTTTTTCTAGTTCTGTGAAGAATAACAGTGGTATTGAGATGGAAATTGCATTGAATTTGTAGATTGCTTTTGGCAGTATGGTCATTTTCGCAACATTGATTCTACCCATCCATGAGCATGGGATGTGTTTCCATTGTTTGTGTCATCTACGATTTCTTTCAGCAGTGTTTTGCAGTTTTCCCTGTAGAGGTCTTTCAGTATTTTGACCTTTTTTTGTGAGTTGCTGTTATGCATTAACAATGGTGCTGAAGCAAGAATATTTAAAGCTGATTTGTCTATAGCTGATTTAATTTAGTTTAATTTCACTGGATTGTGCCGACTATGACCTAAAGCTTATATGTTGTGTTTTATTTATTATTACAGTTAGCTTTTTTAGGGAAATCAGGATGACTTCAGTCTTGGCTATGTGGCTACAGGTGGTTGGCCTCGGGGAGTTTGGGCTATAATCCCAAAAGACACAATCCTGAATTCCATAACCCCAAATGTTGAAATCCAAAAAGACCAGAATCCCTAAAATTTTAAATCCTAAAACCACAATCCCAAAAGATTAAAATCCTGAAAATATAACTCTGAAAACAGTAATTTAAAAGACATTTATTTACATTCCTAAAGGAGAATTTATTTTGAAAATTTCATAAAAAAACAACAGAACACTTCACAACAGGGAATAATGTCATATATATTTTTGCAAGCATAAACAGGTATACTAACAACAGTCACACGGGTATAACAGTTATAAGCAGGTGAATTATATTCATAAATAGGTTAAAAATCACAATGTACAAATGCATATAACTATAGTTGGTAATTCTGTGCACCCAGTTTTACAAACTGTGGTCATCTGAAATACTGTGATAGACATGCTAAGTCTCTGGATGAGATCAATCAAGAACCACGATGAGTCACCACCACATTTGCCAGAAACAAGATCTTGAGAAATTGTATCTTTCACAAGCACAGAGGTACAAAAATGATATGTTTATTTATCAAGGAGGTTTTGACATTTGTATATACACACACAATGCTTACACACAAAGTTCTAGTGGTAATGTACCTTCAGGAGTCAAATTTGCAAAAAAACAAAATCCATAAAACATATTAGAACTCTCTAAATGTCTTTACACAGTTTACACGTCCGCTACTAAAAGTGATGCAGAGATTAAATGCATAGCATAGTGAATTGGCACTAGGGGTGAAGGGCAGAAGTGATTCATAATTGAGTAACTTGGCAAGGGAGATTTCTTGTATTTTTTTCCCTGTGTTTTCACTTCTATATTCTTCAAAATACTTGCTGCACTTGTTTTTGCAGAGTCGTTGTGGTCTACACATTGCGTTAAGTATATGCTGTCCATTTAAAAGTATCCTTATTGCTCAGCTGTTGCAATTAAGGGATTGGTGTTTTTGTAGCACCAATAATAATTCACTTTAAAATTTTTATTTCACCATTAAGTAACCTCACACACTTAGCTTATCACAGGCTTTTTTTTTTTTTCTGGGAAAAAGTTCCCCAATCTCTTCCACTGAGAGTAAAGGAGGAGTACTGGAATATTGTGATGCTCATTAGACACTTAAGATGAAATTTTGAGTAGGAGTTTGGGTCAGGGCTTAAGACATCAATTTGAGAATCCTTAACATGTATTAGTATTGAAAACCATAATGGCATATCATTCTAGTAAGAAGAAATGATACTCAGCTTCCTCAATACCAAATTTATGTTAGTCTAGGTTCTCCAGAGACAGAGCCAATAGGATATGTATATAGATACATGAGATGGGGTGTATTAGGATAATTGGCTCACGATTATGGTGGCTAAGAAGTCCCACAACAGATCATCTGCAAGCTGGAGATCCAGGAATACTGGTATTGTGGCTCAGTGTAAGACTGAAGGCCTCAGAAACAGAGAAGCCAGTGTTATAACTCTCAGTCCTACGCTGAAAGCCACTGAGTAGGAGAAGGGGGTGGTTGCATAGTTCAAAGGTCCAGGTCTAGATGTTTAATCTCAATTCAGATTTGCAACATTCATTAAAATTTAAAATTAGTGAATGTAAATCTATGTGTTTTGACATGGAAAGGTATGCATTACTTATTGCAGAATAAAATAGAAACGGCCTTGAAATATGTATATCAAGGCAACCTCCATTTTTACTGTGTATATATATTTTAATATGCTATATTATGTATACAGTTTAGCATTTCAAGAGTCAGTGTTGCTGGATTAGACCATAGTGATTTGTTAGGGAGAACCTGGCCAGGTAAGAATGGAGAGGAGGAGGCTCCTCTGACCCCAGGGAATGTGAGAAGAGACAGTGGTTATGAAAGAAAGCAGTCACCCTGTGGCTCCCTACCTTCCCCATCAGAACTAGGGGGCATGGAGGGCTCTCTGCTAAGTTAGTGACCCCCAAGGAATGTCTCTGTGCAGGGCACTTCCTCATTAGATGGGATGGCCAATGTGGTTAAGTTGGTGGTCAAGTAGAAAAAAATGATCTAGTTTATACTCTTGAGAGTTCCGTGGTTTGTTCATGGGATGGGCAGGGAGTCAAGGAGCAGCAGCGTTGGCTTGGTGCCTACCAGTGTAGGAAAAGGTACATAGCCTGGGCCAGGGCCCTGGTGGGATGTAGTGGTAACAGAGAGGTCTCTCCATTGCAGCCCAAGGAGGACTGACAGTGAATACCTCATGAGTCCACTAGCTACAACCCATCACAGCAGATTCCAGAAAATGGCTCAGGTTTGGGACCAGGTCATCCCCACTCATCAGACACCAGCCATATAAATCAAGGACCAACAGCAAACAGGGACATCCCCTTCCCACTCTGCCCCATGTCTCAAGTTGTACTGGCCCTTCCTCCAGATCTCTGCCACTATCTTAGAAAGGACCACTGGTAAAAGAAACTGAAATTATAAGCTGACAGCATAAAGAGGATGAATAAAACCTAAAATCATGGTTCAAATGAATGAATCAAGAGAAGTTTAAACCACTTTGGACTAAAATGTGTGAATCCTTTTTCCTGCTGCCCAGCAGATGAGAAGTTGGTAACAGACCAAAATAGTTTGGAGACTAAAGAATCCTTGCACATTTCACTGCTGAGTTGTATTGTGAGTAATTTTAGTTGACCTCACTTTTGTAAATCTTGCACATATGCATGCATAGCTGTTAACAGAAATGTTAACAGTGGTAAAGCTGCATGAGGAGACTGGGGTGATTTTTATTTTTGCTTTTGTGCTCTTCTTTTTTGTTGTTCTTATTTACTCTTACCCTATCATTTTCCAAACTGCAAAAGGTCATTTTGAAAGCCTAATTCAAACCTCTTGACTATTTTGTATATAAATATTCATCTTGATTGAGACTGGGTAGACAGATGAAAACCATATCAGGTTTTTTATTTTTTTATTTTCCAGACTGGGTCTCATTCTGTTACCCAGGCTGGAATACAGTGGCGCAATCACAGCTCACTGCAGCTTCGACCTTCTGGGCTCAAGCGATTCTCCCACCTCAGCCTCCCAAGTAGTAGGGACCACAGGCATGTGCCACCATGCCTGGCTAATTTTTCTTTTTCCTTTTTGTAGAGACAGGGTCTCACTGTATTGTTGAGGCTGGTCTTGAATTCCTGGGCTCAAGCAAGCCTCCCACCTTGACCTCCCCAAGTACTGGGATTACAGGCATGAGCCAAGGTGCCCTGCCCATACGAGACTTTCTCTCTCTGACCCCATGCAGCTAGTAATCAAGGACTAGGCTGCTGACGCTGGGGAACCTGCATGCTTTCTTGAGTTTTGAACTTTAGTGCTAAAAGCTCATAGGCAGCCCTGAAGCCCAAACAAAAAGGTTCTATGATTTATCATCCTGATCATGTTAATTTTACAGAAATAACAAATGAGTTTAAGACTCAAATTGAGCAAAACTTAAGAGATTTTTTAAAAGTTTGACTTGTTTTTATATCACTCTTGGAGAAAAGGAAAATAAATAGAAATAATTAATAGTGAGTACAGGCTGCTTACCTTTGTTCTCCAGAATAAGCAGCCCTGTTGCCTTCTTGCTTTAGATGCTGAAGTTTAGAAGGACACTGTCTGTGACTATAAATGTGTAACTGACAAAACGTGTATTTTTTTTCTCAGCTGCTATGGATTGGGCTGTGCTATTAGGAATAAGAATGCTGATCGTAGCACACACAAACCATTTGTTCCTCAAGTCCATTTTCCTCCTCAAAAGCCTGGAATGTGTCATTGATCAGTGGGAGATGTACCTGAACAGACCCATGAAAAGACAGCAACAAGTTCCACCCAAGGGACCCTAATTTCACTTGAAATGGCTTCTGATAATCTTTCTTTCATTCCTGCTTCCTACCAGTTTTACAGCTTTTTCCAGTTTCAAATGTGAACTCACATATACTCTCTCATTTATCCTCATGACAACCCCAGTGATCCAATGGTCCTCACTTTGGAGATAAGTAAGGGAGGCTCTGCATTAAGGACTTGTGCAAGGCATCCAGCTGAGGGGTGCTGGGACTGGCTCCATTTTCATCTCGACTCTCACTGACTTTGACTACACAGAACCCCAACGTGTGGGGCCTCAGTATTCCATCAATCATTTTATTAAGAAGCAAAAACAATTCATGGCATTGGCCCCAGTTATTAAGCATTTCTCAGATTTACCTTGAGAAACTTCCATCATCCTGTATATTCACATCTTCACCCTTGTCCTTCCCTCCTACAAAGGAGAAAGTCAGTTGAATGCCTTCCGAGGAACCAGTGCGTGGCTTAACTGTCTTTCCACGACTCCCACCTTTTCAGCTTTCTATTTTCCTCCTTCTCCACTTAAGTCTGTAATTTCAAGAAAAGCAGGCACTGGCCTCAGGGCCCCTGGCATAAGAAATATTGAATCTAATAAGAAATACCTTTAATTCACCCCTCCTGCTCACCCCTTTGTAATGGAGAAGTTCCTAGGGGTTTGCTTTGGGTACAAGACCAGCCTAACTCAGCATCACAAGTAGCTGGAAAAGGAAAGTAACCTAAATGAATGCTGCTTATAATTGTAATAGTTAATTACTGTGATTGTACATGTGCAACAGATAAAAGATGTATTTTTGTCATAACTGCTATGGAGTGGATTATGCCATTAGGAATAAGAATGCTGTTAATAGCACATGAACCAGTTGTTCCTCAAGTCCATAGCAAAATTTTCAAAAGTTAAATTTAAAAATTGCTACATTTGAATCTAGTGACAGGAGAAATGGACATAGAGACTGAAGATCCAGCCCAAATTTTATATTTACTTGTTAGAGAATTTTGGACACATTTCTACATTTCCTCAATACTCCATTTCCCCATTAACTATAATGAAGGGTACACCATTATGGGGCCCGAGAGAAGCATAGTTACTAGTTATTATAATAATCATTGTTATTATTATTATATATATTTTGCTTTTAAGTGGATAAGGATTTTGAAAGTCATGTATAAACTGTAAACTGTAAAATGCAAAATGCCATAAGAGACAGTAGTAATAATAATTATTATGTTATTATCTTTATCCAGCCTGTGTTTTCCTGTTTTGTATTTCTTCCTTTAAATGCTTTCAGCAATCAGTATCCCCATTCTTCACCACCATCCCACATTTCTTTTCCCATCCTGGATCATGCTGCCTTTGAAAGCTTCAGCTCTTTCTTCCTGAACCCCCCTCCTGGCACCTCTGCTATGCTTTTTGAAATTCATGTTAAAGAATCCCCAGGCTGCGATCACATGTAGCATCTTTGCTGAGTACATGCATAAATCAACTGCTGTGTTTTACAAAGGGTGATGATGCTTAATTGTGGGATTGTATTTTTCTTCTTTGATCACAGGGAGAAGCGAAATGGCGACCTCACTAGATACGGTTGAGACCTTTGGTACCACGCCCTTCAACTATGAATTGGGTGAGCTCTGCAGAAAAGGCGATATCACAGCGCTGATTGCCAAGTTCCTGCCCCCACTGTACTCCCTGGTGTTCATCGTGGGCCTCTTGGGCAATGTGTTGGTGGTGGTGATCCTCATAAAATACAGGAGGCTCCGAATTATGACCAATATCTACCTGCTCAACCTGGCCATTTCTGACCTGCTCTTCCTCTTCACCCTTCCATTCTGGATCCACTATGTCATGTGGAGTGACTGGGTATTTGGCCACGGCATGTGTAAGGTCATCTCGGGGTTTTATTTCACGGGCTTATATGGCGAGATCTTTTTCATCATCCTGCTGACGATCGACAGGTACCTGGCCATTGTCCACGCTGTGTTTGCCCTTCGAGCCCGCACTGTCACTTTTGGTGTCATCACCAGCATCGTCACTTGGGGCCTGGCAGTGCTAGCAGCTCTCCCTGAATTTATCTTCCAAGAGACTGAAAATGTTCTTCAAGGGTCTTATTGCAACCCTGTGTACCCTGAGGATGGAGCACAAAGCTGGAAGCATTTCTATGCTCTGAGAATAAACATCTTGGTTCTCGCTCTCCCTCTGCTCGTTATGGCCATCTGCTACACAGGAATCATCAAAACACTGCTGAGGTGCCCCAATAAAAAAAAGTACAAAGCCATCCGACTCATTTTTGTCATCATGGTGGTGTTTTTCATTTTCTGGACACCCTACAACCTGGCTCTCCTTCTCTATACCTTTCAAGCCACCTTGTTTGGATATGACTGTAAGCAGAGCAAGGATCTGGACCTAGCCCTACTGGTGACGCAGGTGATCGCCTACTCCCACTGCTGCGTTAACCCGGTAATCTACGCCTTCGTTGGAGAGAGGTTCCGGAAGTACCTGCACCACTTCTTCCACAGGCATGTGCTCGTGTACTTGAGCAAATACATCCCATTCCTTCCTAGTGAGAAGTTGGAGAGAACCAGCTCTGTCTCTCCATCCACAGCAGAGCCGGAGCTCTCTATTGTGTTTTAGGTCAGATGCAGAAAATTGCGTAAAGAGGAAGGACTGAGCACATGAAGCAAACACATTAAGCCTTCCACACTCACCACTTGAACACTCCTTCGAACTTCCAGCGCAACACTGAAGCTCTTGAACACACGGCAGTAGCAGTAGATGCATGCATCCCAAGCAGTGTACTCATCATCAACCCTAAAAAGCAGAGTTTTGCTTCTCAAAGAGTTACATACATTTTAACGCACCCAAATGTTAGTATATGCCTCTACAAAAAGGTAAAATTTTTTATATTTTATACCTTAACTTCAGCCAGCTATTGATATAAATAAAACATTTTCACACAATACAACCAGTTAACAATTTTATTTTCTAATGTGCCTAATTCTTTCCCTGCTTGATGAAAGGCTTGTTTTATTCAGTATGAATAAACAATCTTAAGCAACATAACAGCATGCTATTCCTGTTCTAAATATTCTTAATAGTTTATTGATTTCCTGTTTACACTGAATGACAGCATTTTCCATGGGTGACTCACAGAGCCCTGAGAGGTGTGTACCGTCCTCTTAATGCCCATCTTACATGGCAGAGGAGGCCAGGGGCCTCCTGTACATATGAAGTAGCCCAGGTGTGGGGCAGGAAGGTGTTGGGCTTGCAGAGACTCTCTGCACCTCTAGCTCAGTGGCTCTCAAACTTGTTGTCAGAAGCACCTGGAAGGTGTATGACAATGTGGATGGCTGGGAACCACCCCAGAGTTTATGATTTAGCAGATCTGGAATGAGACCCGAGAATGTGCCCAGCATCACTAGCAAGTTTTCAGGTGGTGCTGATGATGCTGGTCCTGAAACCACACTTTTAGAACAACTGCTCTGGCTAAAATGTCTGGACATTCCAGAGTTATCCTTGAAATTGCAGATTTTGGCGTCAGAGGGAAATGTAAAATACTCTTGTGATCTAGGCACTGCCAAGAACAATCACCACCGAGGACAGCATATGTATGATGTCAGTTCATCATAAACCAGTTGGTTTAGTGGGACTTTCTAGTCCATGATTTTTATTCAGTTGAGCTTTTCTTGAGAGCTTGGGCCTACCATGGCCCTAGAAGCTATGGTGGATACAAAAATGAATAAGACTTTGTGTGAGCTGCATCCTAAGCTGGAAAACATGCAACTTATGATGTAAAAGTATCAAAAAAAAAAAAAAAAAAAGAGTAGGAACAGCCCAGGTCTCCATTCCCTTTGCCTTTCTCTAGTTATGGCTTCCAGGGGAAGTAAGTTCTAAGAGGCTGATTAATTTCTGCCTCTCAGTAGAGATCATATATGACTGTGCAATGTGAGCCCTGCTAGCTGTCCATCCAACAGCTGTCCATTAGGTGATCTGGACAGCATGCACAAACACTGCTTCAGGTTAAGTGAAAGATGCAAAAATGTGTAAGACAAGCACAATCCCTGCCCCTATGAAACCTTCAGTCTAGTAGGGGCATAAGATGGAGACAAGCCCCAGTGCAAGGAGGCAGACACTCAGTGCTATGCCTGGGCCAGGAACGGAAAAACTAGTTCTTGCTGGAACCTGAGGGGAGGAGCATTTCATGGAGGAAGTCGCTTTTGAGCAGTTATCTGAAAGAAAGGCAGGATTTAAAAAGGGAGAGGATTTAGGAGAAGGCATCTTTAAGCCAGGGGACTGCTCCACCGAAAGGGGAGAGGGGAGGGCCTGCACATTTGTGGACAGGAGGGTGGCACGGACAGTTTGAGGTGGGCCATGAATTTCACATGAGGGGAGCTATGGAAGGGTTTAAAGCAGGGCAGAAAAACGATGCAGGAAGATACATCTGGTAATGCATAGAGCACGGAGTGGAGGTCCCAGACCATGCAGGAGGGAAGTTAGGGGGTGAGTGAAAGTTTAGAGGCAAGGAGAGATCAGCAGCCGGTAAGAAAGGTTCCAGGAGCCCTCAGAAGAAGTGGACCAAGAGGCAGCATGAAGGATGAGTTAAAGCACTAGGAGGGACACATGGCTGCATGTACAAATCAAAGGGCAAAGCAGAGTGTATCGTATACCTAAAAAAAAAAAAAAAAAAAAAAAGACACACACACGTTTTACTCTTCACTTAGCTGCATAGACCATCTCTCTGAGGATACGAAAGAAACCAGTAGCAGTGGCTTTCCTTAGGAAGGGATATGGGTGGCTGGAGAACAGGAAAAGCAACCTGACTTTTTGTGCCTTCTGGGTTTTCAATTATGTGGACCTACTACTATTTCAAAAAACAAATAAAACCTTAGAATGATATAAAAAATAAAAGGCAAGGCTGCTATGCAGATGTTCAGAAGTAGGCGTCTGTCCTACCAGCCGTAAGGACATTAGAAGCTTCCTGTCATGAATTAACCCTGTGACCTGAAACAAATTATTTGGTCTCTTTCAGCCCCAATTTCCTCATTCATATAATTTTAAAAATAGATTAAATCACCTCTAAGGCCCCTTTGTGGCCCAAGTAGACTCTAATCTTGCTAAAATGTTAGGAGCTGGAGACTCTGAGCTTCCAAATCAATGATAAAAAGAAAGGAGGAGAGGAGCGGTGGACAAGTCCACAGCATCACCTCCACTGGTCGTGAGACCATGCGTGGTTCCCACTGTTCGCCCAGGGGTACTCATTCGGTCATTTACCATTCAGCAAACATTCGCTGAGTGCCCACCACATTCTTAGCTAAGTTCTGAGGAAACAAACGAGGGCACACCCCTAAGTGTCCAATTCAGCCTGGTGGTGAGCTCCCTGGGGATGTCTAATTCAGTCCCAACTTGGACGCTGCCCGCAGGGAGCTCACTGTCAGACTGAATGGACACTGCTCTTGTCCTCCACTTCCATATCTTATAAAGGAATTACCAATGCTTAAATTCAACCCAGATGAAAGTTCTACATGAAGACCAGAAAACATGTTTTACTTCCCAATCCAATGCTTGGAGAAAGGGAGTGCATACTCTTGGCCATCATTCCATCTGTGCTCACCCTCTGGTGAGTGGCCTGGCCTTTCGTCACTGTCATGCACATCTGAGAGCTCTGCATGTTCACATCGACACAGGATGTGAACTCCGGCATACTCTAAGCCATGCAACACGAATCTCAAGTTGGCTAGGACGCCTTGAAGTACTTCTCTTTTTTGTGGTTCAGCCAAACTGTAAATAAAACAATCATTTAAAAACTGAACTATACATCACTGGTTCTCTCTTGCATTGTGAAGTTGCATCTGCCCTTAGGTAACCACAAGTGCAGGGTAGAGATGCTTGTCATACCATACTCCTCTTACCCTTGAAAGCTTTTAGGAGCTTTGTGACTCACACAAACTTCACATAACCAAATCATGAATTGGTGTGTGCTGCTTTGTTCCCCAGCCCAGCTCTGTCCAATAGAACTGCAGAAATACACTGAGAGAAATGTTCTGTCTCTGCACTGTCCAATATGATCACCACTAGCCACATGCAGCTACTGAGCACTTGAAATGTGGCTTAGGTGGCTGAGGCATTGAATTTTTAAATTGTATTAAATTTAAATTACTTTGGATTAAGATTTAAATGGTCACATGTGGTAGTGGAGCAGCACCAGCCCCTTCAAATCTGCCTCTGGAACCCTCCTCTACCTATGCATCTGGCATCCCGTGGCCCTCAAATACATGGCCTGAACACTGCACAACAACAGGGAAGATTGCTGGTGATGCAAAATCAACGAGATCCATTTCTACAAAACTCACTGTTTGCTGGAAGAGACTCACCTGATTCCCGTGGCTGCAATGAAACGTGGGGGGCGCTGAAAGATACTGCTGCAGAGAGTATGATGGAGACACTGAAGAAAGATGCACAGAGAAGGTGTCATTCTGCTTAGATGGGGTTCCTCCAGGCACAGACCCTGAGCAAGGATTTGAGAGCAAAAAGTTTATTTGCAAAGTGCAGGAAACTCCAGTAGGAAAGTGGGGAAGTAAAATAGGGAGGGAGGGGAAGATGCGAACAAGGGTACATTATCAAGCCATTTTTTACAGGAGGTGACTACAGTCAAAGCCACTAGGAAACTCTGGGATACAGTGAAAACACTTCTCCTGATTTGAGGGGTGAGGGAGCTGGGGCATTCATAATCCACTCCAGTCAGTCATTGGCCGAGACTGCTCCTGGGGAGTGTTAATCCCCAGCACTTCCAGCTGGCCTTGCTAGGGCGAGTTCTTCCCAGCTTTGGAGAATGTTCCTAGGGCAACAAGATGTAGATGCTGGATGTTGGAAGACAGCTGGGCATGCTTGGTTAAGGCTTGAGAGATAAAGCATTTGCTACATATTTGAACCAGTGTTCAAAGAGTTTTTTCATGAAGCAGAGGGTGGGAGTAAGGATGGCATCCAGGCAGGTGGGTCAGTTTGTGGGAAGGCACAGTGCACAAGAGCGACCCACAGATACCTGCTGTGGTGATGCCTAGTGTGACACTGGGCAATGACAGATGCTCTTGAATGTGCCTCTGTGTTTTCTTCCCTGGCTTCTTTGCTCCTCCTCCTTTTGTTCAGCATTGTAATCTGCTATTTCAAAAGATGATCCCTTTCCAGCTTGAGTTCCTGAGATGTTCTTCAGATTCTGGAGCTAAAATTCTAAAGGCTTCACATCTCCTGAACAAAGCAATTTCTGGTCCTTTGTAGCCTATGGACTGTAAAGAACTTTACTCTTTTTCTAGTCTCTGACCTAATCCAGGGCTCAGACAAGGACCTGCAGGATAAACTTGGCCCACTGCCTGTTTTGTAAATGAGAGTGTCATTGGAATACAGCCAGTCTCTTTTTTTTATACATTGTCTGTGGCTGCTTTTGCACTACTATGAGAGTTGAATAGTTGCAACAGAGACTGTATAGCCCACAAATCTTAAAATATTTACTTTCTTGTCCTTTACAGAAGAAGTTTCCTGACCCCTGATAATCTACAGGACTTGGGTCTCTGTAGGCACAGCCATGAGGAGAGAGACTGGGTGTCAAGGGAAGAACTTGGGTGTGAGGCGTTCAAGCCACTTAAGTCCCCAGGTTAGTTCTTCCTTGAGTCTGGTTGCAGTACAAAGCAAGCAAAATTGGATTGAATTATATATTAGTCAAATGCTGCTCACTAATGCAAAACACTGACAGTATGTACCAAGATATCACATGGAAAGTTTTTATTGAGGCAGTAGGACCCCTTAGATCCTGTATCCCAAAGTAGACTACAAGGGAATTTCCAAATGAATTATAAAAACAGATTTCACAACTCTTGAGACCCCTCACTTACAAGGGGGACAAAGAGATTGGATTGATGGATGAAATTAAAGAGGTATTTGGAAAGTTCTTTGTAGAGGACTGCTGGTATTCAGGGATGCCTGCTTCTCACCTTAAGCCTGGTAATGCCAGTGGCACCATCTGAGAGCTCAGTAGGAGTCACCAGGGTTAAAGAAGCACCATGCATCAGCATCTGACTCACACCCAGGACATCTGGA